CCAATGGTTTGGAGAGAGCCTACAAATCATATTAATGATTGTTACTTTTGCATGGTACCTACAAGCCACAGGTATGTCCAAGAAAAAAAAATCGGTTATTAACTACCCAAACATACCATCTGCGATGAGACCTGTGCCTCACAGTGACGAAAATCCTATTCAAAACCCCCAGAATCCTACACTTGCGAATCGGAAAACGAATCAGATCATGGCGATCGAGTGATTCGTCAGGAAGAAGATATGCCATCAACGTCAAGAGATCCTGATTTTATACCGAGCACGTCATGTTACCAACCGCACAAAATAACACAGTCAGAATTAAATGATCTTGTAAGAGATTTAGAACTTCCAAAATGTAAGGCAGAGTTACTTGGATCAAGACTGCAGCAGTGGAACTTGTTAGAAGACGATGTTTCGGTATGTGTTTTTCGTAAACGCCACAAAGACTTAGAACCATTTTTCAATATGGAAAATAACTTGGTTTTCTGCAGTAACATTAACGGCTTACTGGCGGTTTTAAGTATCAACTATAACCCAGAAGGATGGAGATTGTTTGCAGACAGTTCAACATTGAGTTTAAAGGCAGTGTTATTGCATATTGGAAATATTTTACCATCTCTTCCTGTAGGGTATGCAGTTCACATGAAAGAATCATATGACAATATGAAGTACCTATTGACATGCATAAAATACGATGAGCACCAATGGCATATTTGTGGCGATTTGAAAGTTGTTGCACTTTTACTTGGGCTGCAGCTAGGCTACACAAAGTTTTGCTGTTTTTTGTGTGAATGGGGCAGTCGGGCAAAGGCACTTCATTACACCAGACAAAACTGGCCTGTTCGTCAATTCCTAGAGCCAGGTCAAAAAAATGTACAGCATATGCCATTAGTAGATTCGAAAAAAATTTATTACCACCACTGCATATCAAGTTGGGCCTAATGAAAAACTTTGTCAAGGCATTAGATAGAGATGGGTCAGCTTTTCAATACCTGCGTCAGAAATTTCCAAGACTGAGGCAAAGGTTAAAGAAGGTTTTGTATTGGGCCACAGATTCAAAATATTTTGAAAGATACACAGTTTGAAAACACTTTAACAGGTATTGAAAAAACTGCTTGGAATGATTTCCGTCTGGTGGTCACTAATTTCTAGGGAAATGGAAAAGCTGACAACTATAAAACCCTTGTCAAAAATATGCTGTCATCGTATCAAAAGATGGGCTGTAATATGTCTCTTAAGATACATTTCCTACACTCACACCTGGACTTTTTTCCTGACAATTGCGGAGCCGTAAGTGATGAGCACGGCGAACGTTTTCATCAGGATATTTCAACAATGGAAAAAAGGTACCAGGGAAAGTGGAATCCTTCCATGCTTGCAGACTACTGTTGGACTCTTGGTAGAGCTGCTCCAGAAACGATCCATAAAAGAACAGCAAAACACAGCGCATATAGTGATGCTTATAAGTATATGAATCTTGTTACTTTTTTAATATATCCTTAAAAATAAAAAGTTTTTTTTCTAAACCGCAACTAATTTTTTTATTTTATTGTCATTTTTGGATTCAGCGCCCCAAAATTAACAAAGAAGTGCACTTTTCCCACAAGATACAATTAAAAAACTAAAATTTGTTGTCCAGTGATAATCAACTTGTCACAGAAGCGCTTACACGAGATAAATTTGAGTATATTATGTCAAATTTCCATTTAGTAGATAACTACAATATACAGCAAGGAGATAAGTTTGCAAAAGTCAGACCTTTATTTGCGAGCCTGAATCAAAAATTTATGGAACATGGAATTTTGACAGAAATGCATAGTGTAGATGACGCAATGGTTCCTTATTGGGAGACACTCAAGCAAACAGTTCATTCACGGAAAACCTATTCGATACGGCTATAAATTATGGGTCGGCGCATCAAGACTAGGCTACGTTTACTGGGTTGAACCTTACCAAGAGTCGTCAACCAACATTAGTAAGAACTATGCAGATTTGGGGGTTGGTGCTGATGTGGTATTAGAGTATTCTGATGCACTGAGGAGAAAATGGCCAAATGAAACATTTTATTTAGTTTTCGACAATTTTTTCACTACTCTCCCTCTTATGGTAAAATTGACAGAAAAAAATTTCTTTGCGACTGGAACTGCTAGAGAAAATCGTTTACAAGGCGTCCAATTCAGAGATTCTAAAATTATGAAAACGGAAAAAAGAGGTAAAAAAATTTCCGATACAAACATAATTGCAGTAAAATGGAATGACAATAATTTAGTACAACTCTGGTCAAATGCCGCAGGATTGCAACCAATTCGCTTTGTAAAGCGATACTCTCAAAAGGATAAAAAAGTATTCAGGAAAGACACAATCTGCAAACAAATCAATGTTTTAAAAAATGCTTGTGATTTTAGGTAGAATAGCCTCATCTTGTAAATGTATATAACGCAAATATGGGCGGCGTTGATCGTTGTGATCAAAATATTGTTCTGTATGGAATTTCCATCCGGGGTAAAAAGTGGTATTTTTCATTGATCAGCTACTGTATTGATATGGCTGTTCATAATTCCTGGCAACTTTATAGATCGCACGGAGGATCAATTATTGTTTAGACGGCGGCTTGCCACAGCCTTGTTACAACAAAACAAGAAACCGCCATCTTTTTCTAGAGGACGTCCTTCGGCTAATGAATATATAGATATTCGTTATGATCGTTTAGATCATTTTGTGATACCACAAGAAAAGCCAACTAGATGTGGCTCATGTCATGATAGAGCAAAAACAAGGTGCTCTAAGTGCAATGTAGGGATGCATGTAAAATGTTTTTGTCCTTCCATACTAAACATTAATGTTCGCCTATGTGCCTAGTGTACCATATTTTGTACGGCATTTTTTACACTCTTTCCTAAAATAAAATTTAAAAAATAATAAATTTGTTTAATATATGCTTCGTATCTGGGTTGATTCTGAAAACGAGATATAGATTGAAACAATTAAGGCATAATGTAACCCCTGTGGCTTTGCTGTACATAGGACTCCACTCTCTGAGTGAATCAAAGCGCATCTATCTTTCAATTTCTGTTCATTGTACGACGTTTCGGCCACCACGGTGACAACAATGACATTAATTAAATTACACAAAGACGAGTCTATGTCGTTGGGTATGCAAATATGAGCAATATGACAGTCCTGTTACACCTTGAAGGCCAGTGCTATGCAACCAACATATTTTTTCGCGCAACGTTGCATCTCCGGCATATACCAACTCTTGTCATTTTCAAAATGTGCTCTCGTAAACATAACTAACATTTCGTTAGCTAGCGTACAATGAGTTATGCTATTATCTCCTACTTTAGTTCTCAAGTATACAAGCTCCAGTACCAACGCATCGTATTAGTTGTGATGGTCATGTATCTCAATGGTGACTGGAGTTAATAACGGGTGATTTTTTAGGAGGTATAGGATTTGATTTTCAAAAAAAACACAACAAATTTGAAAAAACTACTAAATTTTTGAGTCGATAGAACGGTCGATATAATTTAATGTCTAAAGATTATTTCATATTATTGTTGGCCGCGGCTCCGCTTTAGATGGCCCATGCGCAAGGTCCAATTTTGGCACACTCTCTCCAACATATCGGACGGTATCTCACGAACAAATGCTTCAATATTGGCTTCCAGTGCATCAATCGTTGCTGGTTTATCCCTGTAGACATTAGCCTTAACATGGCTCCACAAGAAATAGTCCAACGGCGTTAAATCACACGATCTAGGCGGCCAATTGACGGGCCCCAGACGTGAGATAAAATGTTCACCGAACTCGCCTCTCAATAGGGACATTGTTTCGTGTGCGGTGTGGCATGTGGCACCGTCTTGTTGAAACCACATGTCGGCCAAGTGCAGCTCTTCCATTTTGGGCAAAAAAAAGTTTGTTATCATCGCACGGTAGCGCTCGCCATTCACAGTTACGTTCCGGCCATCGTCGTCTTTGAAGAAGTACGGCCCGATGATGCCACCGGCCCATAATCCACACCAAACAGTGATTTCTTCGGGATGCATTGGTAACTCTTGCAATGCGTCTGGCTGGTCTTCACTCCAGATGCGGCAATTTTGCTTGTTAACGTACCCATTCAACCAGAAATGAGCGTCGTCGCTGAACACAATTTTTCGATAAAAATGTGGATCTTCCTCCAACTTTGCCAGCGCCCATTCAACCACATTGGAAACGTTGTGGGAGGTCGTGTGGCTTCAATTCTTGCACCAGCTGTATCTTATAAGGTGTTACACCCAAATCCTGTCGGAAAATTTTCCACGTAGAGGCCCAATTGCTGCGAACGGCGGCGAATCGACATTTCACGGTCATCACTAACACTGGCGGATACAGCCGCAATATTTTCTTCAGTCCTCACTCTACGTCTGCGTGTTGGTGGTTTAATGTCCAATAATGTAAACTGGGTTTGAAATTTAGTCACAAGCTTCCGAATAGCTCCCTCAGTAAGCCGACCAAATTGCCCATAAATTGGAAGCAGTGCTCGATGCACTCTCTTAACCGAGCATGAATTTTGATAGTAAAACTCAATAATTTGCAAGCGTTGTTCGTTCGTAAGTCGATTCATGGTTAAATTATACACCAAACTGAACAAGTTTGACAATGACACAAGACACGATTCACGCGTCATCTATCAAAAATAGTGTTGCCGAAAAGATACTAGCAAAAAAATCACCCATTAGTAGCTATCTTGCAGAGAGAAAATAGCATCATGGCTATTTTTATAAAATGAATGGCGATCTAGAGTGTAGGTATAATTGGCCGACCAAGAGTTCTTGTAGCATTCAGTCCAATCTGTAGGCGTGTAGCCGAGGCACATCTTGCATTCTTTTGATATTCTATTAAGCTACGTCTGGCATACTAAATAAATCGAGCAAAGATTTCTGCACAATCAGCTTTGAAGCAAACCTTATTTTTGAAATCCTTGGGGCTGACATAAGGGTTGATGTCAAGGATCTACCTTACTTACCGATCAGCGTTTTGGGCAGTATTAACTCACCTGGAACAAAAGAATCTCTGTTAGTAACTGAATACAAAAGAGATTGAATCGATCTATCAATAAAAGGGAAAAACACCTGCAATCGGCCATCTAGGCATTTGTAGTACACACAGAGGTAATGCATCAAGTATTCTGCGGCTGGTCAACAACTCTAAGCGCAAATTGAAGATGGTTTCTATCTAAAAGTAAAGCTTATGGTTAGAGCACTCGTTGGTCACGGTTGTGGGAAGGCTTTTCTCTGTCTCATATAATGCTAATTTTAGATTCAGCCCTTTGTAATGTGATAGTTTATTATTCTTCCCGACACACCTACAATGCATAGAACTGAAACCTTATAAAAGACAGTAATAATAATAATAATCGTCTTTATTTAAACTGTACAATTTCATACAGAAAAACAAGAGTTGCATATGGTGGCGTAGTTTAGCAACATGCTACTCTTACACTTAACCACCCATGCAAAAAAACAAGTTGTTAAGTAGCAGATATCAAACAAAATATACATATATACATACACATGTACATACATACATATAAACATACATACATACATATACACACATTACATACGTACATGTTGCACCAAGGTTTGCTACATGTACACAAGGGAAGTGAAGAATCATTCAACAATATATCTATAGCAATCTAAGACTATGGATCCAAGCAAATATGAGATTTGACAGCTTTCTTGAAGCAATCTAAGGACATGGTTTTGAATTCAGGACTCAAGGCATTGTATAACACTGAAGCCCTGTACGTGAAAGAACGCTGGAATAAAGTTGTGGAGTGAATAGGTGTAGTTATCAAATCTGGAAATCTTATATGTCTATGATGAATATTACGCCTAAAGATCAGCTTTTCTCTTAAGTATATAGGTTTTGACATAAGTATTAGTTTATGAATAAAAACACGGTAATGATATTTGACAATATTTTTTGTTATCATCCAGTTTAATTCAATAAGACTACCAGAAACATGGTCAAAGCGCCTTAAACCGCAGATGAACCTAGCACAATTGTTTTGCACAATTTGAATCCGATTTCTAGTAACAACATTGAGACACGGATAATATAAAATATCACAGTAGTTGAAAATCGGCATAACCAAAGATGAACACAGTTTTTTCCTTAGCTTATAATTGAAAATTGCTTTATTGGCATATAGTGATCTCAGTCTCAAGTAGGCTTTCTTCAAAAGATTTTTAACATGACTGGTGAATCTAAGTTTGAAATCGATTACCACGCCAAGAATTTTAACCTCGTCAACCGGGTACAGTCTTTGAGATCCAATTTTAATGGTTAATCGACTTTTAATTTCTTCTCTCCTGCGATCCTTATCCAAAAATAACAGGCTGGATTTACCAGGATTTATTGACAGTTTGTGGTTATTCGAGAAGTCATACACTTTTTGAATATCATGGTTTATTGATGTCTGTGCCATTTCCATATTATCAGTATCAAAATAATGGACCAGTTCACAAAAACTCACAGCCTTAGGCAGATCAGCAATATATATATCAAAAACAACAAGGGACCCAAAACAGACCCCTGGGGTACTCCAGACGAGATTTCTAGAAAACTAGATTTATTGTTTTCAATTGATACACACTGCGATCGATTTGATATATAATTTCGGAAAAAGTTCAATGCAATTGGATCTATGCCATAATACTTCAACTCTGCTATTAACAACTCATGATTTATTTTGTCAAATGCCTTGGAATAATCGATTGACATCACTGCTACGCCCATTTTTTTATCAAGTCTCTAATAATATTATCCACTAAGTTTAAGAGGGAAGTAGTAGTACTGAAAGATTTCCTAAAAGCAGACTGCTCAGATGGGATGATATGTTCCTCTGCATAATGCATTAGTTGTATGTGGGCTTAAAAATTCACTGTAGTGAGAACACGTATTGTTGTGAAACTTGAATTTAAGTTTACTAAAGAGTGAGGTTAAGATTCAGTACTGACGTTAGATCCCCGCGGCCTGCTATGTTTCTAAATGCAAAACTTAAAATACATCCCTCGTATTCCGAGACGGCATAAAGACATTTTTTTATAAGAAACTGCTTAAGTTAGTTTACATTGTCTTGTAGTCATAACTGTATAGATAAACCAACAGCCTGTTTTGAGGTACGTAACTCTTTTCACACTTCGAACTAATTTTATTATGTTGTCCCCTCCCCTGTCCCGCCCCTCGAATGAATGAATGAATGAATCTTAAAATTAGAGGCATCCCGGCCACCATAAGGAGTCAGTGCATACGCCGCTTAAGCGGGCCCTTATGCACCTCTACAATCCTTAGATCACAAGTCTCGCCCTTTTAGCGAAGTTGCGAATCGCCTTGAGTCCAAGCTCCTTGACGTACTGAGGGTCCAAAGTAATGGACCCCAGTATAGTCTGCCTATAGTAGCTCAGAGCTTCACAGCGACACAAAACGTGCGCCGAGGTATCTTCCTCTACTCCGCAGCGTTCGCACACGGGATCCTCAGCCACCCCCATCACGTGCAGGCGACTCCTTAACGTGTTATGGCCAGACAACAGTCCCACCATATTAGCGATACCGGATGCCTCGCTGCGAGGCAATCCAGAGCCTCCCTGCATTGCAATACAAGACTCGAAGTAATCTTACAGACACTTAGTGCTTTCATTGCAGCCTGGCTGTCGGATAAGATTGTTATTCTTCTCCTAGGCCCACCCTCCTCCAGAATGTGAGATACACAAGCCAGAATCGCAAAGATTTCCGCCTGGAAAATGGTGGTGTATCCACCGAGAGGCAGAGATAGCCTAGTTCTAGGCTCAGAGACCCCACCACCTGAGCCCTCTTCGGTGACCGAGCCTTCCGTGTACCAGACCTGCCCGCTCACTTCGGAGAATCCCCGGCTACCGGCGTCCCACTCCTCCCTCGTTGGATACTCCACAATAAACTTGCGGTTGAAGCGATATTTAGGGGTAATACGATCACCCCTGCTTAGAAGGACGGGGTCCTCCCTTTCTAATTCGACTAAGATGGCAGTATGCCCCTTGACAGTATTCAAGAAAGCCCAGCTGCCCTGACTCCACAGTCGATAAGCGACTACTCCCGCTTCACCGCGGATCACCAGATCCAACGGTGGGAGATCCAACAGAGCTTCCATTGCACTCAATGGCGTTGTTCGCACTGCGCTTGTAATGCTAATACAGGCCAAACGCTGAATTTTATTGAGTTTAGCCTTAGTTGTCTCAGTTCTACTGCAAGGCCACCAGACCAGGGAGCCGTATATGAGAGATGGACGTACTATCGTCGTGTAGAGCCAGTATACCACTTTGGGTTTAAGTCCCCACCTTACCCCGACAACACGTCTACAAGCCCACATCGAACACGAGCCTTGCTAACATTGTATTCCACATGCTCTCTCCAGTTCAGTTTGCAATCCAGATATTTCACTGACTGGGACAAAACTAATCTAGTCCCAAAGAAGGTCGGCATGACCAGCCTTCTCCTAGTGAATAGGATCAGCTCGGTCTTTTCAGCATTAACAGAAATATCGACTTCCCTACACCACGACTCCACGGAGCGCAGAACGCCCCGCATAATTTCCGAGACTGTCCTACAGAAACGCCCCCTAACTACTATGCTTACGTCATCAGCATAGACTTGCGCATAGACACCCACCCCTCACTGCATCTGGAGAGTTAATTCTTTCCAATGTATGTTTTCCATATAGTTGACGATGTCTGCAAGGGAATTTGTTTGTACGCCCATGCTCTGGATTCGTCTTTTTCGCGAAGAGAACAGAACGAACGAGGGCAGATAATTATTTGGGTCTGCGGACTTGAGAATCCCACCCTCCGATTACCTACTTTTCCTGATTTTTCTTTCCATTGCCCCGCAAAACCATTAAAAGTTTTACAGAGACGGGTTCCAGTTTCCATTTTAAGACAATAGTAACAATATTTTTGCATATGGTCCCGCCTTGGAAAAAACTGGAAAATTAAATTTCAACTCGTCGAAAATAATTACAAGATGGCGTCGAGTAGATCGACTCGATACTTCCTACGCCTTCGTTGGGGGTTTCAAAGAAATACGATGAGTCATGTCGTTTCAAAAGGGAATGCGAATCGTCAGGTTGGATCTTCGACTTCTGCATATCAAAATATATACGAGCCCCTTCTTACTTCAGTTGGCCCAACTATTGAAATCTTAGTTTTTTTCTTATCAAACACAAATAATAAAAATGTAGCAGGGTGTTTTAGGTTTAAAATATTAACAATAAATATTTTGATAATATCCAGGGTGTCCCAGAAGTCGACGTCAAGCCGAAACCGGGTGATAGGAAAAGTCATAACAGCTATCAGAAAAATATTTAAAAAAATTTTATGTATGTCTGTCAACTCCTGTTACTACAAATATTAACTTTTTTTGGATTTTATTTTTACAATGTAATGATGAATAATGCATCTTCAAACTGGTGTCTCAACCTTACTGCCAACTTTTCTCGATCAGGAAAAATTGCCACTTACTTCCCAACCAAGTATTCCAAAGTAAAACTTTGCTCAACTTTAACTGGCTGTACTGGAAAAAAATGTACTACGAGAGTTTGGCAAGTAACCTTAAAAGTTGGCGCATTTAATAAGGATTCCAAAATGGTATAACACTTAGAAGATTACTCGTTAACTTATGCACAATTTTTATTTGAAGAAAAACTGATGAAAATTTTTCAAAATTTCCTAATTAAACAGCGATTATGAAAACGCACAAGGACCCTTGAGGATAACTGTTTGCACAACAGTGGGCGTCAAAATGCTGCTGATGATGATTTCCCTTTACAACAAATGCTCAAACTGTTTTCCTTCAGCCGCAATACACGATCGACATCTTCTTAAACAAGATCGGGTTATTAAACGAGCGAATACACGGTTATTAACAAACTCAGCTGCTTCCAATAGTCTTTGCCGTAGCTCAGCTACATTTTGAATCGGCTTCAAATACACTTTTTCTTTTTCAGTTCCCCAGTAA